ATATATATATATATATATATATATATATATATATATATATATATATATATATATATATATATATATATATATATATATATATATATATATATATATAAAGTTTTAAGCACTGCTGTTTTCAGTCCGAAATGCCTTATCTATCCCTTTGGAAAGCAACTTGAATCAATCACTTAAAAAAATTTATGGCATGAATGATTCAATAAATCCAAGTGTATCTGTCTGCAGACTGCATAAGAGAGGGCGTAACAAGTACCTTGAAACTTGTAACATGAAGGGGAAGTAGCATGCAATTAACAAAATCCCAGTAAACCAAGCGAGATGTCACAACGAGATGTTGTTGGCAAGATGGCGGAAATACTTCCCAGCGAACATTTTCAACAAATGTTTTCATGGGTTCTCCAAATTTATTCACAACCTCTTAATTTAATATATCATTATATTCGTTCATTTCGCAAATCCACTCACTGACTTCATCTGTTTTGCCACGACAGTTAGCCTACTTGACGTCGCCCCCTGTGGTTGCAAATAACAGTACAATAGCGAGCGTGTCAAGAATGAAAGCCTTCGGAACTCGAGGCTGTATGTTAAAAACTGTGATGGTAGGGTTTAGGCTTGTTGTAGGTGTAGACGTTAATAACTATGATGGTTGGGTTTAGGGTTGGGGAAGGTGTAGACGTTAACAAATGATGGATACAGCACCATCTTGCCAACAACATGGTTTTCACATGTGAGTGTCCATAACTTCAAGTTAGGCCTTTACTACAAGTTATGCCCCTTCATGTAACGCCCCATCTTGCAGTCGCAGACAAACCCTACTCAATAAAAGGATTTGTTGCCACCTACTGGTGGTCTTAGCATAATGCTTATTTAAAGCAGACAAAATGTATGTAATTTATCATTTAAAATTCATTATTTTAGATTGATTGGGATTTTAGATTAATACAATAAAGCCAAGATAGAATGAAGTAAACAGTGATTTATAATTTATGGAACTGAACAATATTCAGGTACAGAAATTGAATCAAGTTTTTAAAAATACCACAGTATAGTTTTAATCAAATAAATAATTAAATACATTTCATCTTTTTAAAGCTGTAAACATTATAATTTATTTTACCCAAATGCTTTAACCCCTTCAGACCCAAATTATGTTCTAAGTTTCAGAAAAATGTAAGTACATTTTCCCAGTTCCGAAGGCTTTCATAAATGAGACCAAATAAAAATAATGTCCATTTCAATGGACATCAGGTCAAACCTGCTGTACTTCAAAAACAATATACCAACATGAAATTACAATTTTACTTGACACTTTAACGTTAATTTTCAACTTTTATGCACATTAATACCCACTGTATGTTAAATAGACAGACAGTCAACATAAATAGTTCACTTATATATTTATAAATCAGGGGTGTCCAAACTCGGTCCTGGAGGGCCGGTGTCCTGGAGAGTTTAGCTCCAACCCTAATCAAACACACCTGAACCAGCGAATCAAGCTCTTACAAGATATACTACAAACATCATGGCTGGTGTGTTGAGGCAAGTTGGAGCTAAACTATGCAGGACAATGGCCCTCCATGACAGAGTTTGGACACCCCTGATATAAATCATCTTTTACTTGCCCTTGTTTCAAACATTTATGAGTTTCTTTATTTCTGTTGAACACATAAGAAGATATTTTGAAGACACCTGGAAACGTTTGGAAACTGACTCCACAGTATTTGTTTTTTTTCTTCAATGAAAGTCAATGATTACGAGTTTTTATCTCTTCTTTTGTGTTCAACAGAGATCAAATGTCTTACAACAATCCATGCGAACGATAAACTCTAATATGATTAAACCTTTGTAGTAACTCCACAAATGATGTGCTCTGTGGTGCTAAAACCAACTATATATACAAATCAAAACGTGTGACTATTGCAGATGAGCACATTGCGACGTCAATAGTGAAACGATGTATTGTGCAGCCCTAATTGTTACTATATCATGTTTGACCATATTGCAAACCTCTGATGCAAGCATAAAGCAATGTTGTGCAACACAGTGATCAAGTTTCAGGAGGAGGCTGTGTTCTCGTTGAGCAATATAATCAGTTTAATAAGATAATAAGCTACAGTCATGTTCAAACAGGTCCACACATCAGGCCGAATGGGTCAAGCTGGTGGAAATGGACACAATCATTACATTAGCTAACAACAAAACACCACTGTTGATTAAATTCAAACCAAAAACACGTTAAAAAGCAAGCAAAGTCAAATAAAAACATGCAAAGATCATGCCGTATAATGTGTTTAACATTGCATTTGATGACTAATGATTTTTTTTTCGTATTATTAAAGCCATTTTCAGGCAATGTGAAAAAAACACAACTACATTTAGGTTTTAATCACACCAAACATGCTTTTTGCAATGATTTTTGAACATTTTTATATATATATATATGTGATTATATATATATATATATATATATATATATATATATATATATATATATATATATATATATATATATATATATATATATATATATATATATATATATATATATATATATATATATATATATATATATATATATATATATATATATATATATATATATATATATATATATATATATATATATATATATATATATATATATATATATATATATATATATATAT